CCCCAAAACCCCAAAACCCCCGAATTCCTAATTTCAATCAAATCACTCAGATTGAGAATATTTTAATATAAATTTATAGTATTTATGACTCAAAACTAATAGTTAATATAATTATCATGATGATTATCCCAAGGAGAAATAGCAAAAGCATTATTGTCTTGAAATATACTGTCCAGCTTTTAGGTGCTGCTTATTTTGCTGGCTCTCTTTTTTGAGTTCGGACTTAAAATGATCTCTGAATTTATGATGTGGTCTTTTGGACTCTTTATTATTCTATCTCTGTATTGCTCATTATCCACAATATTTTATCTTGGAAATAGATTCTACAGTTTTTAGTTAATTGCGACTGGAGGTTATTCACTTATTTTCCTATTAGTAATACTGTCTATTATATTTGCTCTCTACTCTAACAAAAAGTAACTTCTTTTTTATTGCAAGAAAGTGTATTGGCTTGTGGTTTAATCATTATAAGGATTAGCAAATCTTAATTGAAGTTTTTCCAGATCAGCTTGGCTCTATGTAGACTACTTTGGCTATCTCTTGATAAATTTCTTGAAAACAGTCTTATTCTACATTTAATCAAGTTTATCTTGAGACTTTAGATTAATATTCTTCCTTTGGTTCATAATTTTTTCAAAAGTTGCACCCAGGTCCAAAATATTATTATAATTTATTTATTATTGAACCTATCTTTGAGAGCTTGTTTGTGAGGTATGCTTCTCAGATTTATTAACTTAGAACAGATTCTATTGATAGCTGTCTTAAAATTTTTGCAAGTATTGAGGTTCTCTTATCCTATCTGAATTGATATTGTTTTCTATGTTGCAATGAAATATGCTATTTCTACTTTTCACGTACTTCTCAAAATTCTTAATAGCAATCGGCTTATGATTGTAAGTTATTTTTTGTTCTATTAACTTTTTTAAAGAAGCTTTTTATTGCACTTCTTGGTCAATTTGATTCATCGTAACAATATTCATAAACTTAGTGGCTTTATTAAATGTATTTTAGTAGTTGAGAGGAGGTTGGAAATATTTGTTTATGGCAATATCTCTGCCAATGCCGTTCTTAACACTTATTTTAAGCTACTAGTATTGTGATTCATTGTCACTTAGAAGAGGCATGTAACTATGTGAATATTGAGGAGGAGTTGCTTCTTTTTAAGCCCTTTTTACTTTAACTATTTTAAGTCTATCAAATTTTGCGACAAGAGATTTCTCTTCATCTATTTAGGTCTAGTAAATAGAACTTTATCTTCTATGCTGACCTATATTGGTAACTAATCCTGGAAGAACAATCAAACTATTTGATTTTGGATGATGATCTGAGTTTTATATCATTATGATTATTATAATTAATTTTTAATATTTCTTTATTTGCTTCACAAGGGGTTTTGGGGTTTTGGGGTTTTGGGG